GGTACAACCAGCGGCCCTGCTGGCCAAAAGCACACTGGCACTGGTTTGGTCGAACGCCACATTGGACTGCTCAAGCTGACAATGGCAAAGTGTGCAACTGAAGCTGCCAGGTTCTCAATCACACCCGAGATGGAAGAGCTTGCATCTGAAGCAGCAATGGCACACAATTTGACCTTGAATGTCGGCGGATACAGTCCCTCCATGATGGTTTTTGGCATCCTGCCACGTGGCTATTTAGATGCTGAAGAAGTGCCTCTTTCTGTAGCAAGTGCTGACCTGGACCAATCTCCCTTTGAACGTGCAGTTCGTCTTCGGCAGATCGCACTGCAGGCAGCACAAGCATCGATTCTCGAAGATCGCATCGTTCGAGCAGGCAGAACGCGCCCTGAGAAGCTAGATCTGTCTGGTCTTGTTGCTGGCTCATCGCAGATCGAGATCTACAGAGATGATGGCAACTATGGTTGGCGAGGACCAGCTTTGCTTCTCAAAATCAACGATGCCGAAGGCACTTGCATCGTGGAATACCAAGGACGACCCTACTTGATGTCACTGCGGCACATCAGGCCGTATCGAGGCAGTTTCTTCTCGCATTGTCACTCTGACAATATGGAGCAGATTTGTGAGCAGGACATGCTGGACCTACAGCAGATGGTCGAGGCCAGCGATCCATGCAAGTTGTTCACCATTGGACATGTTTTGAAGACCTCCTCAAATGCCTCTCACGAATGGGTCAAGATTCCAGCAGAGATGCAAGAAAAGGACATCGAGTACCTGAACAAGGCACGAAGAGTGGCATCCTTCTTTAGCAAGAAAGAACTGCACGGAATCCGCTTCGGTCGTGCGGTGAAACAGATCTACGTGCCAAAGTACTCCAAGGGTGTTCTGATCTCTTGGCCCAAGAACTCCAAGCAGTACATCATGATGGAACACAATGGAGATAGTCATCTGACGCTCAAGAAGGTGATGCATATGGTGTTGGAAGACATTTGTCACCTCTACCTGTTCTACTACACCTTCTACAGTGAAGAGTCGCCTCCAGCTCAAATCACCACTAGACAGCCAACAACAATGGACAGCACAGCTGAAGCTATGGATATGTCAGAGTCCAGAAAACGAGACGGTCCAGAATCTCGTACCATTGTGCTGGCTCCCGAGAAGAAGAAAGCTCGCTATGAGTATGCAGATGACAGTGGCCCATCAGAACAAGAGCTGTTGCTCAAGTCTCTATGGTGGATGACACAGAGGCCGCAGAAGATCAAGTACCAGAGTGATGGAATGTGGTTCAACGATCAAACGCTCATCATGCAGTACAACCGGCAGCATCCATGGCCAAGCACAAGAAGACAGCCAAAGCACTTCCTCTTCCACTTCCACGGCAAGACAGAAGAGATCCTCTACATGGACCTTCGCACCACGGAAGTCTTCCGTGTTGACTCAGACACTGACGTCCTTACTGAAGAGCAGCTAGCAAAGCACTGGCAAGCTTTTGAACTGTCAGATTTTGCTGAATTGAAGCAGTTCGTGGACGAGGATGCCTTCTTCAAGCTGCACATCAGCCAGATCACCGAAGAGATGGTAATCGTGGATTGCACCTGGGTCAGGAAGTTCAAACGCAATCCTGATCGCAGCATGAAGGCCAAGAGCCGACTTTGTGCAAGAGGCTTTCTGGATCCGCAAAAGACCTCGATGCCTACAAGATCCACGACGGCTACAAGATTGTCACAAAGGATCCTGGTGAGTTTGGCAGCAGCTATGAACCTGGACATTGAGAGCCTGGATGTTTCGGGCGCTTTCTTGAAGGGGCTCTCCTTCGACCAGGTGAGAAAGAAGCTCAGAGAACGTGGAGTGATCTCTCCCCGTCGACTGGTGGCAATCATTCCTCCAGCCAACATTTGGCGACATCTCGCCAAGATGGACAAGCGCTTCGAGATCTCTGAGTCACAAATGGGCGACTACCTTTTGGGCTGCAACAAGCCTGTGTATGGGTTGAATGACGCGCCGCTAGCCTGGCAGCTATGTCTCCACGACTTTGTGGAAGAACTTGGAGGTCGACAGTCCGTCTTTGATGAGAACATGTTTTTCTGGAAGACACCTGGCGGACAGCTCGAGACCATCCTCACTACGCATGTCGATGACATTGCAATTGCCACGGTTCCCAAGAAGCTGGAAGAACTCCATGTGAGGTTCACAAAGAAGTTTGGAAAAGTGACAAGAGAACAGATGCCTTTCCAGCACTGTGGCATGGTCTATGAGAAGGTGACTCAAGGGTACCGCATCCAGCAGTACGATTTCACCGACTCGCTGAAGATGACCGACATCAAGGATGACAAGGATGAAGAGCGCTCCCTCACAAAAGAAGAGACAACACAATACAGGTCGATATTAGGCGGCCTTCTCTGGTTGACGGCAACTCGCATTGACCTCATCGCCGAAGTCTGCCGACTTCAAACCTTTGTCACTCAGGCAAAGGTCAAGCACCTCAAGATGGCAAATGCAATTGTCAAGAGAGCGCAAGATAAGAAGTACAAGGACCTTGGCATCATCTACAGACGCCTTCCTCCTCATGCTGGCTGGCGCCTAGCATGTGTCCATGATGCCAGCTCGGCATCGCAAGGCCGAACCTATGCCAATGAAGGCATTTTGGTGCTCCTGACAGTGGACCGGCTCAACCTGAACACATCCTTGCATGACATCAATGGTTTGCACTATGATCCTGAGCTCTTTGGAGGCCCAGCACACATTTTGTGGGCAGCAATCAGCTACAGCACAAGCCATGGAGAGACTCTGGCTGCAATCAATGGTTTGGAATCCTCTTCATTGGTGGCCCTGAGGCTTGGTGAATTGTTGATGGCAGAGTCAAAGCCAACACTGGCTCAACTGGCAGCGCTTCAGGAACGAGGCGTTCCCTTCCTTCCTGTGGACGTCTACACAGACTGCCGCGACTTCTACGAGCTCACAACTGGAGTCAAGTCCATGCCTCAGGACAAGGGTCAAAGAATATACATCATGGCTCACCGAGAGGCCAGACTGTGTGGCCGCATTCGCTGGGTCATCATGATCCCAACGGAATGCATGACGAGTGCTCTGACCAAAGTGATGATCTCACCACCACTCAACGAGTTGCTCACAAGTGGCATTCTGAGATTCTTCAATGTGGATGGACATCCCATCGAAGCCAGACGATTGCCCATGATGGAGGAGATCGAAGAAGAACATCTGAGCCTTGGAGATGAGCGGTTGCTGAAAAGCCATACTTCATCGACGACAAGGCCTTCTACAAGTTTGCTGGTGGCACTATGTTTCTTCGCCTTGATGACAGGCGGGAAAGCAGCGGAGAAAGAAGATGTGGAAGAGAAAGAAAAGGACGACACCCTGTACTACATGATGGCTATGATCGCGGTGATCTCCGTGATCCTGTGGCACCTGGCCTGGACGGGCCTGAAGAAGATGATGAAGTGGTGCATCAAGCATGCAAAGGACAAGGAAAGCCAATGTGACCTCTAAACCACCTCTGGTTTGCTGGCCGAGATCAAGAACCTTCGGCAGCAAGTGGCTGAATTGGAAAAGGAGAAAGAGCTGTTGGAGAAAGACCTGACATGGTCCTTGCACCAAGCAAGAGAAGAAGAGAAAGCACAGTCGAAGCTGCGACATCGGCTTCGCCAATTCGAAGACCCGACATCGACAACGACGGCAAGCTCCTCGAGTGACCGAGGCCTAGAAATGCACAAGACATTGTGCCCCTTCGGCAAGGATATCTACCTGGCACAGACAGGTGAAGTGTGGCATGCAAACAAGCTTTGCCACGTTGTGAATAGCAAGGCGACTGGAAAGATCCAGACCCGCCGACCTTGCACATTTTGTGCAAAGTAAAGAACACTCCAGCTAGCACAGAACCATGAGCGGAGTGAACTTTTGAACATTGTCATGACATAGGCATAACGCTGTGAACGCAGGTCGACCTTTTTTGGCACAAAAGAAGCGCTACCGAATGTTAGTATATATATATAACTATATTATATAAATATGATCATGAACAAAAAAAGCACTCTCAGGGCGTCCCCTTCTGTCTTTTTTTAGACGGACAGGACTGTTTGATCATTTACATGCCAGTGGCTCACCGAGTGTCTCCCAAAGCTGCGTGAGGAACTCTGGTGCTGAAAGCCTGATTTGCATGGTTCGGTGCTGCGGTGGTCATTAAATTAAGATATAAAAGGTCAGGTGTTCAACAGATATCGAAGAAACACATCGCCACATCTTGCTCTATAGGCAGTGTTAGCATGGGAGGGGTGACCCGAACATCTACCGGGAGCAGCCGCGGTGTCTACACGAACCCGACTTGCGAGTCGGGAGTGTGTCCTTTCCCAAAATACCCGGCTGGTTCCAGCCCTAGGCCTCCAGTCGTACCTGCTGAGAAGGTCTTTGGGGTGGGTGCCAGGAGGGTCCAAGTACCTTGTGAGGAGGTACGACTGGAGGTGTAGGGCAGTTGATCGCAAAAAAAATAACTGAAGACATGAGATGGACCTTGAAATGTTCGCTCCAGCCCTTATTAAGTGGTTTCAGGGGTTCCATGGCCTCACCCCCGTCCGAGGTTTTTTTCATACATGGGGCTCCGTATCAACCACCTAACTTGGGGACTGTGCCATCCAACCCTCTGAAACCACGAGGAAAATTCAGTCGTCGACAGTAGGGTGCCCAATCGACCGGGCTGCCTCCACGCGCCCGACGGCCCGACTGGATGAAGGTCGACTCGCCCCGAATACATCCTGTATTGGCGGTGCTGGAGGTCTTTCTTTGCTTGGATCATACCCAGGTTCATAACCTAGAACATAAAACATATAACCCGGAAAAACAAAAAACAGGTATCTTATACCATGTTGTACATGTTTTCTGAGGTACCAACAGGTGGACGCCACTCTTTTTACACGCTGGCTCGACCTCCTATCACCCATCTCCTAGCTTCATCTAGCTTCCTAGATAGCATTTTCGGCATCGAGCGCCAGGCCTTCCGGAAGAAGATGACGGATTTGAACACCATGATGTGGGAGCAAGGCTTACCATACGAGCCATGGCTTTGACTACCCAAACGCGACCCGTCTGGGACTGCCAGTCCGGACTGCCTTCAAAACGGCCAGGGGTGGTTGAAACGAGGGTCAATGTAGGCATATATGGCAGTCCCATGGAGCGTAATGGGTTATAACTTATAATGCCTCCCTTTGGTTATACTCTTATATATGGTTATACTCTTAGACCCGCCTTCGAGCTCCTTCGGTTCACAACGGATTGACGACTAAACCCCTAAAGGTTCAAGATCTAAGGGCGGGCGCTCGACAGGTTGCTTTGGGTATGTGGTTTACTTCTTTACTTGGAGGGTAAGACATCATGGCACAAAGCAAAATTCAACAGCAAGGAGTTCCCACAAAAAAGGGTGGTAAATCATTCCCAGACACTCCATGGGATATGCCGGCCTACATTGACCCCCCAAACCACCCTAATGTAGGCGTCTGGGATTGGATGATTTGGTTCCAAGATCCACACACAGGGAACCTTGCTGGATCTTTGGCAGGTCGCACCCAACTCTACAGGTCGCCATCATTCACCAGTCTCCAACAATTACAAGAGCAGAACAGTTGGAGGGTGGTAGACGGACCTCAACCTTCATACCCAGTCAGTGCCATGGATAACCTGCAAAACCTGTTTGTTGGGAGTGGGGACACCCCATCTTTCACAAGAACATGTAGAAAGTTGGGTTAACCTTTATTTTCCAAGGGGACGCTACTAGTAGCTCCTGGCCTTACTGGGAACAAGAAGCTACGCCCGGAGCATTTTGGGCATCACTACGAACGTAACGCCCGGACGCTACTAGACAACGTAACAAGGACTCCTTGGGAAGTGTTGGAGGCGTTGTCTTCACCCAACGAGCACAGATCCACCGTGGTCCACGACCTGTTTGGTTTGATATATGCCTTCCAAATACCTGCCTTCCAAGGCCGCTCAAACAGTTTTGTTTTTTGGAGCGTTTTCAAGTCCTAAAGCAATCTAAAGGCTATTAAATCAATGGTGGTGGTTGGAAGCCTAGAGCATACCTGGGTCTTCATAAGTATGCATTTTTTCTGCCTTTTCAATCAAAACTGCTTTTTCAAGCAAACGCCAACTATTTTGTACTGAAGCACTTTTTGCATTGACATGTTTTCTATGGTAAGTCAAGGTTTTGCAACGGCGACTTTTCCCGACCAAACGGCGACTTTCCCCGACCAAACGGCGACTTTTGCCAACTGCTAATTTGGCGACCTCTGTAAAAACATCGAAACGGCACTTTTGAAATGAAACGGCGTTTTACGGCAAACGACTGAAATTTGTGCTGTTTCGCCAAACGGCAGAAAAAACACACCCGTGGAAGGTCCAGGTATACCAGCATCCTCCCTGCCAGGTCACGAATTAAGATCTGAAAAAGGGCCCGGACCCCAACCCAACGAGGAGACCTGTAGGCCTGTAGAGTCGGATGCTGGTATATATTCTACAGAATGCCTTCATAGTTGTCCTTCCCAAGCACCCTTTGAGGAGCTCCGCTGCCGTTTGCGCAGCTTCTTCCTGCGGCTGGGAGCGGTGATTGTATTTTTGGCTTTCCGTTCGCGACCGGAGATGAGGTCACACCCAGAGGATCGGAACCTCAGTTCGTACCTCAGGTCCATAGGAGACCTGTTTCTGTTTCGGGTCATGTCCTGCAGGCATCTCAAATTGAACGAACTGGGGTGATCTCACCGTCCAGTTGAACTGGTTGCTTCCTCGAACTGGAACCACAGAGTGACTCCCAAGCCTGGATCCGCCCAAAGACCCGAAAGCGTGTCAAACATACCAGGGCCCTTAGGTTGGAGGTTTCCAATAATAGCTCCTTGGAGGTTAATGGGTGTCTATGAACCACCCCAAACTCGGGGGTCCTGGTAGATGTTTGTATGAAGACGGTCAGAGTTTAGGCTGGCAGCATTGTACATCGGCTTGACACCTGGCGCCAGGAGTCTTGGAGTACCCATCAATTCATCGCCCTTAAAACATGTATTTGTTCCCACAAGTTTTACGCCAAGCCAGATTGTGGTTGATCTATGATCCGGAGAACCATTATGGGGGAATGACATGTGTTTTTGACCAAAGAAAACGGCTTGGGACCTGGGTCTCATAACCAGCCATGTGTTCAGGCTGCACCTTCCAACAGGTGGTTTTGGGACACCTCTCAACCTCGACGCTATTTATAGACACCTCTTGGAAGGTCCTGGTATGGAGTATATATTGAATTGACCTCTTTTCAAACACCTCTTGCCTGATCCCGAATATGCCAGTCCCAGCCAGGTCGTGTCTGAGACTGCGATGTCTTTGGATCAAACAGCCCCGTCTCCTCTTTTTTGGGGGAAGCTACCCACCATGGCGGTTCCCCAAATGCTTAATGCTAACACCCCCAAAACCTCTCTTTTTTTGTTTGTTTCTACCCGAAAGCGCCGCCCCAAACGCCCCAAAACGCCGCGTCCAGTGGCAGCGGTCCCCCCCACACGTGTGCGGCCTCGCTTTTGCCTTCGACCGAGGCAGAACCGACACCAGGCATTGCATGTGACCCGCCAAAGGCTGCGAGACTCGATGAGCCCTCAACTGCAATCCGAGGCGGCCTCGTCACGGCAGCCAACCGACCCGCGTGGGTAGAACCGAAGGATGGTGCGGTGCGGCGCGGTGAAGCAAAAGGGTTCCATACCCGTCACGAGATCTGGATTTGGCCGTTTCTCCCTGTTTCTCCATTTTTTCCGAGATGAGCGGTGCTTGCGGTGTTTGGGGCTGCTTTCGGTTCTTACACTGGGTGGTTGAAAAGGGATTTCGTTTGGAGGTCGATGCCAGTTCTGAGAATCGTTCACTAGGGAGACACACCGTGAGCCAATTTCCCTGCAACGAGTCTCACAGAGAGTAGACGTGGATTTGGATACATGTCTTCGGTGGCATAACCCACGGCGCGACCGGTGGGACTGTACACATCGAAAAGACATGGTCAGGGGATGTCAGGGGGGTCTATAAACCACCCTTTGGGTGGTGCTGGTAAAGAGGTACAACATTTCTAATTGCAGACACTGTTTGACACTCATTGACCCCAGGCAAGGGCACCAATGGCGAGGGCACGGATGCAATGTAGGTCACGGATGCGAGATGTCCAGATCGGTCCGGTCCTTGCGTGAAGCAGATCGCTGGTGTCGACACATGACGAGTTCTCCAGAGACCTCGACTGACATGGCTCCAGTATGAAGTTGGTGTTGTTTTTATTTAAACGAGCCCGTAAATCTTCGGATGTGCGGTTTTCGGGTCATGTTTCTTCTTCACTGTTAAGTCTCCAAAAGCCTGCATTTCGGAGACCTGTTGCAGGATGCTGGTATGGAATATTCACACACAGTGGGATGGTTGAAAGGGGTGAATGTAACCCTACCCTCCAAGTACCTTCTGAGAAGGTGTTTGGGGTGGGTTTGCAGGGTCTAAATACCTTCTGAGCGTGTACTTGGAGATGTAGGGGGAGTGTTTGGGCAGGGACTGCTTGAGAAATCAGGGGTCAATGTAGATCAAGATGCCATACACCAGCACTATACGTGTTCTGAACTTGGATGCTATAAACACCTGGTGGGCCATGGTCTTTTGGAGGTCTACACTCTACACCCCCGGCTCTTGCTTCCCCTTTGGGGCAGCTCGTCCGATCGGTCAAGCCCTCGGCAGGTGTGCATTGCTTTGAACCTGGCATGGATCCGCAAGGCCAGAGGGACAGAGACCGGACCGAGACGCGACGGAGACCGGCTTCCGACGGACCCGTTCGGAAGAAAAACCCGTGGAAAACCAACCCCCCCCTCGCTGGGTGGGCGAAAGGGTCGTCTTCGGACCATGCCCATCCACTGATTCCATGTTAGACCCTAGGACTGGCCAGTAATGTCGACGTAGGATTAATCAACCCCCCCCCTTCAAGGTCAACAAGGTTTGAGACTGGAGGTTTTGGAGACCACATCCCCTTAATAATAAAGATGATGACCTAATGATGGATGATGAGATGAGGACCTGGACCAGATGATGGGTGATGGTTGATGGGATGGTGTGTGAATCATGAGAGTTTGAACCATGAGAACCATGAAGGGTCTGAGTGTATGGGCACAAGTTTGATCAGAGATCAGATAGGATTGATCAGAGAGCCATACCAATTGGATCATTGCATATCAGAGCATGGAGGATGAGGAATGGGAGGTGGAGGCTATTTGTGGTGAGGGTGGATGCAGACTGTGGAGAATTGGTCTGACCTTATGGCATATGATTCCCAATGGGAGAGAGATCAGAAGATTAGAGATGCGTACAATAGTATGGGCATTCCAGTATGGAATCGCAGATGGTGAGATGATGAGGCATTGGCTTGATTGGGATGATTGGATGATTAGGAAAGAGATGAAAGAGATTGGAAGACAAGATTTTTTCTTAGATTGGGATGATTAGGAAAAGAAAGAGGATTGCGGGATGAAAGAGATGGAAAACAAGATGGAGGCCAGAGGGCGGGCTTGATTAATAGGGGGAGGGGCCCCTACTATTAGGGGGTGGTAGGGCCTGTGTGAGGGGTGCCCTTTGTGAGCTTGAAAACCTTAAGATTTGATAGAGCTTAAATAAGTGAAAATAAAAAATTGCTAGCAAGGATTTTGGGTTTTAACAGGGAAGGATGAGATGCAGGTATTCCAGTGGGTGTATGGGATGCAATGTATGGAAATGCACTGCCTATTGGATGAGGAAGGAGGGGAAGAGACTGGGCAGGAAGATCTCACATGCGTATACATTGCTGCTGGGAAGGATGAGAAGAACAAGCAGAATGATCAGATATGATTGATTGATGAATAAGAGGGTCAGCATGGGAAAAGTGTGGATCAGAATGCTATATCTCAAAGAGATGGCATGAGACAAGGGTGGATTGGAAGATCAGTTTCACCATGGACCAAAAGATATTGACTGCTAAAAAGGTAGGAAATAACAACTTGAATGTTAGAAAACCAATTATTCCCCACATCTTAGTGTGGGGTTCTTCTTTTCTATGTCTCATCCCGCTTCCCGCCTCCGCCCGCCTCCGCCTCCGCCACACACACCGAGGCAACACAGACAGAGATGACACAGACAGAGACACACACACACCGAGATCACACACACAGAGACCACACACACAGAGACCATACACACCGAGACAA